TGCTGCGATTGTTATTGTTGTTAGTTGTGGCTTGTTTATGAAATGAAATGGTTAATAATTGCTAATTGAATTTCTGTTGCCTTTGGCGACAAATCGTTTATCTTGATTTACGCGCTGCCTCGCTGCCGCTTTGTGTGGCTTTCGTCTTTAAAGCTGAGCTTTTCCTCTTGCGGATTTTTGATTCATTGAAATACACTTTTAAGGTTGAAAGCAGTATTTGCATTGAACCGACTGGAGAATTGGATATCTTCAGCCATCACAATTGGGGCTTAAATGTACAATTTTCGAATCTTAGTAGCATTTTTTTTTGTTAAATGTTGTTTTAATTTATTATTTATAAAAAATAATTCATTGTTTGTGCAAATATTCATTTATGCAATAACAACTTTCTAAGAATCCAATACGTTCAATTAAAATAGTTTAGGTAAAGTCGAGTGGCATCAGAGTTTCGAAAAAAAACGTCAGGTGTTAAAAATTAGACACTCTCCATATTGAAATATGTCTAAGGTTAAATCTTTATTTCTATGTGGTTTCTCAAAACACATAAAAATAATTACTAAAGTAGTCTGTTATTAGAAGGTATTTCTCAAATAAAAAGAAACCAAAATTGTTTAAAAAAGTTTAATAGTCATAGGTAATTTTAAGATATTACGTCGTATACACGTTCTTTGAAGCAAATATTAATCGTAATAATATCTTAGAACATTTTATTGTTGGTCTATCTCCAACTGATATTAAATGCTGCTTTAAAAAAGCATTCAAAACATGTGTTATCAATAGTGATGCTTTATTGACTTCAAAGTTTATATATTTGCGTCAATGTTTATGATTATTATTGGTGAATTGTTAGTTGCAATGAAAATAATTGAGAAACTAAAAATTGATGAATCAAATATAGAAAAATTAATATTCATATATACGTACTTAGTATATTAAAATATATAGAGAACGAGCAAGAATTTGATGATAATAATTGATAAATATTAATGTTTGAGGAACATATATAACATATATAAGCCATTGAACACTCCAAGTACTTCAATCATAATACTTCGAATGCAATATTATTAAATTTATGAGAAACTTTATTTTAAATTTAATTTAAAAAAATTTAAATTTTAAAAGATTTTTTCTAGAAGCCTACGCATTGAATCGAACTAAATAGTATCAAGAAAAAATTTAATAAATATACAAATAAATCATGAAAATGTTTGCTTCAAAGATGAGACAAATAATAGTATTAAGTATTAAATGGAATACCTTTCTAGTATAATTTTAAACAATTAGATAAGTAAGACAAACCTATGAAGTACATATGTACATTTAAGTCTAGCTATATTAAATGCCTCTTCCCGTTTCCTTTCGACAAGTCACACATTATGCCAAAACCCCACCACTGCCAAGCAATTTGAAATCTACGGCTAGTCGATCAGTTGGGGGCAAGTTGAAGTGCGTTGCCAACCAAAACAAACCATTACGCACAGCCATTAGCAGTTAGCAAGCAAATCTCATAATGAAATCCAAACGAGCTCATTGGCAATCAAGCAGATGTGAAATACGAAACATAAAAACGACACATTACGTCGAGCTCGATGGCATTTTGCAATGCAATCAAATTTAAATTCTCACTGCAACTGGATATGCCACGACAGGCGATGGCCATAGCGATGGCAGTGGCGACGTTATCGCCACCATCGCCTCTAAAGATTGGCGACTAAGCCAACAATATGGCCAATTCATTAGCAGGCGCGTTTGAAAATAAAACCGCCATTTGGACACTCGACATGGCCAATGCTGGCTGGCTGGCTGCCTTCGCCTGTTCGGTCATTTAACTTGCGGCTTGTGGCTTGTGGCATATAAACAAGCGACGCGATATTAAATGGCTTGTATAAATTTTGCGTAATGTGCCTTGCGAACTGCCGTGTAATTGGGGGGCGCACTTTTACACCAGTCGAGTGTTAAATATTTCGATTTGCACACTTAATGCAGGAACTGCGCACAACAATGCAAAATACGAGTGCTCGTAATGCGATGCGGCGTCGAAATTATTTCGCCACGAGTCAGGCATCTGATGACTGATTAAGTAAGCAAAACAAAAACTCCAACATTTCGCATTCCTGGCAATTACGTGCATTTCAGAATGCCTTAAGCTATGCAAATTTGCATGTGCAAATGTCTAATTTGAATTTCAAATACGAGTACTCGTACACACACTAAATGCTGTCACTACTTACAGCCTGCTGGCTTTTTGCAATAATAGACTGCCTTGTGCGTATATTTTGTTTTTACATTACCAAATAAAACTTAAGAAAAAAAAACAACAACAGAAATGCGCACCGAAATTGATAAGCAAACTTTGTGCTAGACAGACAATTAGCACTTGACGAGCGGCACATGCGGCGTATGCGCAATATTTTCAAACACGTTGCGTCTTCATAGTAATTAAAAGCTAGCTGGCCAAGGCATCGACAAATTTATGGCTTACTTTATTATTTTCAATGCTCAAACACTAAATAAGAGTGTGTGTGTTATACACTGAAAAGAAATATATAAAAAATTTACATTAAAAATAGCTCGCCTTTACATAAAGAACTTCATATTTTCAGAAATGTAGGGAAACATAAATGTTCATTTCGCTTAAGAACTACATTCAAGAATAGAGTAAACAGGTTTTACTTAGCTACAAATATGATTTCTTATTTAATTACAATGTTTGAAAATACTTCTTGAGAAATAAATTTCAAACCTTTATTTAATTTTTTAATTTTCTCTTAAAACATTTAAAGAACATTTTAAAACTTCATTTTTGAAAATATTTTAAGCCAAATAATTTCAAATTTCAATTAAAGTAGAACAAATGGTTTGAATACATTTTTTGGGAATAAAATCGAAAAAAAAATTGTATATCTTTAAAATGTTCATCTTGAACTAAAGTTTTACTTTTGAATGAGTTTCATAAATAATTAAACATGAAATTATATTTAAATTTTTATGTTTAAAGAATAAATTAAATGTTCATTTGTTGTCACCATTTCTTAACGCTTAAAGAACTCTAATTGCTTTTATAAATAAATGAAATTTTAAAAATAAAACTTCCTATTTTTAGAAAGTAATAAACTAATGCATGATTTGCCCATTTTCTATGACATAATTGACGTTATTTATTTGTAACTAAATAATAATTGTTTTAAGAAATATAATTTCTTTTCTTAGAGAAAAGGGCAGCATAATTTCTTTTATTAAGAAGCTTTTTTTATTGACAAAATATAAGTTAATTATAGAATTGAAAAGCATTTATATGAAAGTGTCTTTTTTTTAAAGGTTCGCTACATTTGTTAATAAGAAGTTCATTTGTAATGGCAATGCCTTTAAACCAGTTCGAGTTTTTTTTGTTTTTTTTTCTTTTGCTTGAGTGTAGGCGCCATAGCCATCGCACAGTTTAATTTTTCTGAAATTTAATTAACTGGGGGTGTTGTTTGCTTGCTAACTTCTGTCCCCTCCCCCCAACTACAATTGTTACAAGCCGCTTAGCATGCGCATTCTTGCTTCAATTGAACATAAATCATGCGCGGCGATGGTGACGTAATGTGTGACGCGTCTCTTACATCATGTTGCATGGGCGTGCCTGCCAATCGATGTTAAGTTACATTTTATGACGTGCCAACAACAAAATTAAACAGGCATTGGTCGGATACTCCATTAAAAATGTATGTCAGCGCCAGGTGAACAGCATCATAGCTGAAGTTGAAATAATGCTCTATTCATATAGATACATCTATATGCATGTACAAGTATAGATATATTATGCTAAACTCTGGTATTACTTTCTTTTAATACTTGCAGATGCCTGTGGCCTATCTGATGTGACACACATTGAATCCCTGCAAGAGAAATCACAGTGCGCTTTGGAGGAATATTGTCGAACGCAGTATCCCAATCAGCCCACGAGATTCGGGAAACTGTTGCTCAGATTGCCATCGTTGCGTACTGTTTCCTCACAAGTGAGTTGCTAAATACGTAATACTAGTATTAAGCTATTTAAGTCGCCTATTCAGAGTTGTTTGTATGAACATGTTTACAAAATACAAATAATGTATAAGTAATAGCCATCAAGGGAACTACTTATGAAGCTTCCATTAAGACGATATTTGAGCATTTTAAGGGATTTTTCTTTTTCATATTTTTTGATAATAATCTAGAAATTATTACTGATCTGCTGACGATATGTAGAGAACCATCTCTGAACTACTTTAAAGCCATTTTAATATAATTTATTGTGCCCATATAGAGCAGAACTAGTTAACTTGTTTCTAAGGAAGTCTAATCAAACCAAAAATCAATCGTCACAGGCCAATTGTGTTTATAGATATGGCCCTGATTTTTTTCAAAACAAGTTCCAAATGTGCTCAAAACCACCTCTTTAGCCACGTTAGCCTTATTTTACAAACCCTTTGGGGGAAATAAAGGTTTGAACTGGTTCTTAGCATGTACTATCAGATCTTCAATTTGTTTTTCAATTCATTTTTGAACCGGCTTAAAATTATGATAATTATCTAATAATTCTATGATTCATATTAAAAATAAAACTCAACTCAGTTTAGAAAGCAATAATAATGACGATTTCAAAAGATAATGCAAGTCCTTTCAATATGTACATGTTTTCGTGGAACCCAAACAACACTTAAACCAGTTTGTGAGCAATACTTAAATGCTCTTTTCATTTAATTATCTGTTCTTAATCCCAAACTAGTCTTATGAATCGTATTAAAAATGCAATGGATCTTTTTACTATAGATAGCTTTACTATTTCGTTACAAAGGTACTAACAACCAACTCTTTTTCTCCTTGTTTCTTTTCAAATTTTGTGGCTAGGTCATTGAACAATTGTTTTTTGTGCGTCTAGTCGGTAAAACGCCAATTGAAACGCTTATACGCGACATGCTGCTGAGCGGCAACAGTTTCTCTTGGCCCTACCTGCCCTCGATGTGACACACGATGTGGCGCCAATTGACAACAACTTGATCATCCGCCGCAGCTGTGGCGGCCGCAGTGGGAGTCAATCATAGCATCAATCCCAGCATTGCCAGCAGCAATATCAGCCATATCAGCAATGGCAATGCCTTTGCTAGCAACCATGAGCAGCACAGCAGTGTTGCTGTCATGCATGCGGCATACGGCAATACCAACAGCAACAACAACAGCAACAGCAACAACAACAGCAGTAGCAGTGTCAGCAGCAGCAACAACAATATTTGCAATCAACAAATCAACTATAGTAACAACAATATCAACAATATGAGCGCGAGCGGCTTCTTCGGCAGCGGCGTTGCCAGCAACAACAATGGCGATTATATGGCCGATGCCGCAACCATGATGATGGCCGCGGCTGCTGTCAATGCAAATCATCAGCGCATGTTGCTGGCCAGCAGTGGCGGTGGCGGTGGCGGAGGTGGTGCTGATGCTGACAGCGATGAGCAACTAACTGTTAATGCCACCGAATCAGCTGCGGTCACGGTCAGCACAGCCTCCTCAGCGGGCTCATTGTCATCGGCCTCATCGACACACTCCCAGCAATCGACGACACCGACTACAGCAGCGGCCAGCAGCATAGCCCAGCCGCCAAATTTAATCGATATCAGCGAAGTTCCTCTCATTGTGGATGTCAAGTAGTGTAATTATTTATGCATATTCAAAAAATATGTTCAAAGAAAAATGTAAAAAAAAAAAGAATATTGAAAGTTGAGGAAATCAAGAAGTAGAGTTAGATGTACACGCTTAGTCTAATTGTTTAAACTTCCTTTAGTTGTTGTATTTTGTACATAAATCAAATTTCCTTTCTATAGGTCGCAAACGCTGTCTGCAGTTTAAAGACAGACCGACAGACAGACAGATCCTTCTGGCCAAGTATTTCACGTAAGACGTGAAATGTTTGGCTCGCTATTGGGGTGGCCATTTATTCAATATGTGTATGTATAATATTTAAAAGGCACTGAGTTCTACTTAATTTTTAACGGCAACGTAAAACAATAAACATTGATGAATATCTCGAGCCCCATGTTTTCAATAAACTAAAAAAAAAAGTAAAAGTAAAACCAATAAAAAGACAATGTACATGTATGTTAGACGAAATACTATTTATGTATGTTTTGTAGCATATCTAAACCTATATATATATACTATATATACATTTAATAATACAAATAAGACGTACTCTACTCCCAGTGGTTTGCAGAATTATACCAAAAATATATTTTACTTTATGTTTCTCACTACTTACAACATTTTCGTGTGGCAATTATTTGTGTGCTTTAGCAATTTTATTTTACTTTAAGTAAAATGTGAAATCAAATTTTCAAACATATTCGTAACCATATCTCAAAGATATGCCAAATTCTTCAATTAATTTTATGCAAAATTTAGCAAATTCTTTTATTTTGTAATCCAAAAGCGGCAATACAACTAAAAATTTAAGTGCAAGTTTCAGTTTTTGAACAATTTCTAAGCATAAGCATTATTTTAATTTATATCACAAAGAACAATTTTAGCTACTATACTATATAATTTTTTGTAATAAAAATTGTGTTTTTATCAAGAAACTCCCTTTTCGTTTAATTACTTGTTTTGGTTCAGAGGGGTAAGCAATACTTTTAGTTTTTTTGATTATTATTTTCAACCACAATTTCAGCCAAAGTCTGTAAATAAACAATTTTAAGCCAACAAAACAGTTTTTAAATAAAACAAAAATCACAACAAAAAAAGGCGGAAAACAAACAGAAGAATATACAAATAAATGTGTAAATACGAAATGTAGCATATAAAAAATATTTAAGCATATATTAACAAATTGAAAACCTCCTCTTAATGAACGCATCACGTAAGCGCGTGTAAATAAATGTTTCGAGCACATTTGTAAATTAATTGATAATAACTGCAAATAAAAAGGTAAACAAATTACGAGTATAACAAATGCAATTGCACGCATATTAATCAATCGCATCTGTATGTATATATATACAACTATATAGCATATATATAAATACTTTAGTTTGTGTGCACCCACTTGCATATAAGTATATAGTATATATATACACATATAAAAATCAGTCCCTTATCACACAGTTTGTAGTCTCAATACCCGTAAGTGTAAGCGATTAAATGTTCATTGCGTTAATCAAATACATTTAAGTATTAATTAGTATAAAGCTGTTTGTTTTTGATAATTTCAATATTGGAATGATGTGTCGGTTAAATAAATTTTATTTAATAAAATCGAGAATATTACAATTTTGCTAATTTACTTTAAACGCTCGTTTGAGAGCCAACTTGAACTTGCTAGAATTCTGATCTTTTGGAGCGCTATGGTTGTGGAATTAAAAAGAGAGTTCAAAAATTGTCTCTCTGAGTGGTCTAAGGAAATGGATAACATACTGGTACTCGAAAGGTAAAAGGGTGTAAATCATAATTTCTTAGCCTTCTTATTGATTTCGTAATTGGTGAAGTTTGACTTTAAAATTATGGAATGACTATATTTTCTTGGCTATTTATTCTTCCATCGGATTACTTTTAAGGCACTTAAAAGGTCATAGTCCACGGAAAAGTGTATCTATGGCTTTTAAAACTATTAATATTCGAACAAAGAAAATAAAATGTATATGAATGTGCTATTTTTCAAGGCTATATACATAATTGTACATTCAAAAAGTAAAAGGGTATTTATTCTTCCTCTTCATTTAGGTTTATTTAAGGACACTTAAAGCATTGTTAAGCAGTGCCTGATATTGATAGATCAACTATGTATAATATCAATATCATCTCAAAAATTCGTCTTCAGGCATTACCTTCGAAAGAAATTAGGAAAAAATATCTTTTAGAACAAATGGGTCTTATTTTCATGGATTTCATAATTATATTCTTTAAATAAAAATAGGGTATATGGCTATAAAAGAAAATATCCATTCTTATTTGTCGAATATTCGTTTTGTTTTTTGTGCCATATGCATTTAAAGACTATTCGATCCGATGACTAAAGTACATCCGGGAATATTTTGGCATCTATGTCCACAACCGACAGATCATCACCTGAATCCTATTCTATTTCTTAAATGTTAAATGTTCTTTAACCATCTTTGAAGCCCTTTTCCAAGCATATAAATATATACATGTGTTCGGTTTTTCAAGATTTTAATCTTAGATCGAATCTTAAATACCTTTTACCTAGAATTTCTGTGGCAGTTGTATGAAGGAGTGAATTAATTTTGATGAAACTTCAGGCACTCTACAAAACTCATAAAACTCATAAAACTTATTGTCCTGATAGGAGAGATTTGTGGACTGATCGCTCCCATGGTAGTTATATATAGCAATAAAGATATATAAAGTTTGTAATAAACTTGCTCTGAGTACGAATAGGACAACTCGACATATTCAGTTTGGTATCTCTAGCTGCAATTGGTGTTTTTTACAAGGGACAGGCGGACATATAGACAAACGGACGTGTTCATACAGACGAACAAATTCAATTCACTTCGATGGGTCCACCAAGTCTCCTTCTACCTGTTACATGCATGTGGCATTTAGGCTTCCTAGCATACTATAGTTTGAACAAATTATTGGCATGTGTGACCACAAGTTGATTCTGTAAAATGTGTCTACCCAAGTCTTAGCTACGTCACATTTTTCACGAGCATTGCAACAGACACAAGTTATTTCTGCAATTCCCAAATCAGCGCAATAAAAGACATAACTCTTGGCATACTTACATCTGCAATCAGCAATCGAATGTGAAGCTCTCTATGCAAAGCTTCAAAAAAAATCCCGCCATGATGAAATAGTAGGTGTTGAAAAATAAATGAGCAAGTCATGCAGCAGCATTCGCCCACCAAGAGCCAAAAACAAAACTCGAGAGCCGACTCTACTACATGAATATCGATGGCAATTACGCGAACTGCTCCGAAATTGCCAATAATGAGACATGCAACTCGCGCGCTTAGCCCCTGTAATGGATTGCCGTGGATTGGTATCAATTGCAGGTCAATTCCCCAACGCCACGACGATGACGATGACGACGACGACGACGACTCCTACTCTGACTATGACTCTGACTCTGACTTGGCGTGGCAATGCAATTTGGAAGCGGGCATCGGAAGAGCGAAATTTCACGCGCCGACAAGATAATCGGCTCGTCGCACATAATGCCGGGATTCCCTAGTTTGCTGAGGGGCTCAAAAAAATAAAAACAAAAAAAAAAAATACGAAACAAGCCCAAGGATCGTGCGCCAGACAGCGTGTAGCCAGCAAGCGAACGAATCAACCGACAAATTGCGCCTGTCTTGTTGGGGGACGTTTGCTGGGGCCCGAATGACAAATTAGATATCGAAAATAACAATTTGATCGACAACCGATCGCCACCGCTCACCGGTCAGCCAGCCAGCCAGCCGGTCAGCCGGCCAGTGCGGAATTGAAAAACCAAGCCAAAAACTACGACAATAAAATTGCCGTCTTCGACATCGCTCCCTTGGCTAAATTGCCTCGAAATAAGGAAGGCATTTTGTGGTTTTGGCGAGCGTATCCAAAGGAGTTGATGAAGGTGTTGATTTGATTACTTTTATGTAAGCGACCAGCTAGCCAGTTAGTCAGTCAGTCAGTCAGTCATTCAGCCAACCGATCTGCCGTGGAGGCTCAACATATTTCTCAAATCGTGATCGGGGCAATTTTAGACTCGGACTCTGACTCGGACTCGGACTGGAACTGCAACTCCAGCTCCAACTCGGGCATCAATTGTGCCGACAATGCAACCGCCAACTGGCCGGCATTGGATCTGGCAATGGCCAGCGGCCAATATCTAAATGTGAAAAATGATTTGACTTTAATGGTCGCCACTGACTGATCATCTGATCAGCATCATTCGCGTCATCGTCATCCATCGTCCATCGTCCGTCTGCCGTCAGCCGTCCCTTCCCTGTTTCGAGTTGCGCTGCAATGTTCGGTGAAGGTGTTAAGATTTTGTGACCAATTGCCATTTGTTGTAGTTGCGACGTGGATGCTAACGGTTGCTATTGAGTAACTGCAACTATTTTGCATGCCTCGCGCTCGGCGATTGGCGATGCAATAATTTATCTTTCTACTTGTATATGTATATATTTTTTTCTGTTCACACTTATTGGCGTTGCCTCGCATCTAGCCAAATGATTGATTCGTTCACCCGCTTCTCGGTTTTGTGGCTGAGAACGTGGGAATATGGCTTGAAGAATTGGAGGAGTGGCAGTGAACCATTTTCCATGCAAAATTATAATTATTTTTATAACCTGTGAACAGGGTGTGATAAATGTATTCGATATGCAACTATTTTATAAAGATATGAATTAATGCACGCTCAGAACGTGTAAAAAGAATATTCTCAGACTAACAGAAAAACTTGCAATGGAATGCAATCGAATTATTAGACTTCAAAGTTTTATGATAAAGTCGGGCATTAACTTATTTTTAAAAGACAAGTTCTTTGCTTTTGATTACAAAAATGGACTGGTTATTAACAAGTTGTCGCTGACGTTCCGTTTCCATGTGTTTCTTCTATTATTTTACCTATTCAAATGGTTTCATTTGAAGTACTTTCCCTAAGAAAATTGTCTTATATTTGGGATATTGTTTATCATATCTAGAGATGTATTCGAAATTGTACAAATTTCATTTTCATTCCTTTTATTAAGAAGTATTCGAAAAAGATTTATTAACAATTTGTTGCAGCAAAACATCCAATAACAAACATTGATTTAGTGTACCATTTCAATGTGTTCCAATGAATGCAGTCCATATGAAAATAGAGTTTGTATTTAATTGAATTGATTGTACTGTTTCATTGTTGCGTCGAAAAAATTTGAAAAACGTTCACCTGTTTGATTGTTCTATTTTTAATATTTCCCAAATAAAAATAACTTGTGACAGACTTCCAAAAACGACGTGGCTTTAAATATAGTTTCCACTTTAGTGTTTCATTTCTATGTGTAATTAATTTAGCATGCAAAGCCACTTAATATTTAATATTAATTAAATTAATTATTAATATTTTCAATGGGAATTGGTTCATTTTATAAGGCATTTATATTAATGATCAATATGGTAAGACGAGTCGATAAATATCAATAGAACACACGCACATATGAACGCATTAAGAACCTCATATATTTATATTTGTCATGTTTTTACTTTTAATTTTTAAGAGTTTGGCACGCACCAAAAGATTTCCGTTTTTCTTATGAATTTCACAGCAATTTGTGCGTCTGGCCACATCGCTTGAGAGCTTCTTCGGAATAGAGCGAATATGATAAATACTAGTATGTGCAAACTGCCTTTCGCAAGAATACTATTACAGTTTCTGTTTTATTTCTTTGCCAACTGCCAGCAATGAGCTTACGAGCCCATGGCCTCTAATCTGGCCACAACAATGAAGAGAAAAATTGCATGCGCCCGGTAC